CAATTAAGATTAACAAATGTTAGATGTTAATAGTGATTGCTTCATAGAGGCGAATAATATGGAGGACTTCGGAACGTCCTTGACCTTACGCTCGCTATTCACTTTGCACCGACGAGAAGAAACCATATCCTATCGATTGACTTATTTACATATGTATATACATTTACACACGCAGATACAGGCTTTGTTTCAAAAATTCGCAGGTTTCATAAGACACAGCCATGAAATTGATAGAACCTAGTAGCTGTTACCGCGTATCGAGGTAATTACGTAATTGCCACCCATTAGAACAATGTGGTAACACGGCAAAGGTAGAAGACACGCTCGAGCAAGTAAAATTCATCGTTGATTTTATTACGCCCTGTAATTTCTCCTCCTTGTTCCAACTCCCCGATACGAATCGTTAAAACATTAATTTAAGTGGACCTATATTAGAAAATCGATACTATCTGCGAAAAAAAATTATACATACGGTCTTCAGACGTATACATGTTGAATCAATCATCGTGGGATATATACTTTGCCATAAAATTCTATCTCTACAAACTCGCCGGCGAACTCGATTTCTCGTTTCAAATAAACTTATACATGTGTACACCCACAACATCAGAACATCATCCGCGTATGAGACCTCGGGACGTGTAACCACCTTCCACGAAAAAGAGAACGAAAAATCCGCAGACCTATTTGTCACACTAGCCTTGACGATAATCCAATCCTGTCTAATGTCGAACGGAATAACAAATACCCGCTTGTTTGCAAGACGATCCGATTCGACTAATAGATCACCGAGAAAGTAGTCTATTTCTACGATTTGTATCCTGGTACGTCCATCCTAATCGACTAGAGAGTAACACTGTGACAGGACAAAGTATCGATTTTTTCTCTTTTGTCTTAAAATGTCCTTTATACTTTTAAAGTTGTATAAACTCTTATATAAAAACCGTGACAAAGCATTGAAATTTTAACAGTTACTAGATATTACATTAATAAAGCGCTGTACACAATTTTAGAAATTTTGCGAGTCAGTTAAAAAAGTTATTACATCTTCAATTCTTATGTCGACTGACAGAATTTTGATTTCACTTATAAAAGAATATGAATGAACGATAACAGAATTTTGTAATTTTGTAT